AACTGTGGGACAACTGCCAAAGCTGTAGCACACATTTTTGTCATTTTTCCATCACTGTGACCAAAATACCTGACAAGAACAACTTAGAGGAGGAAAAGTTTTGGGGGCTCATGGTTTCAGAGGTTCAGTCCATGGTCAGCTGACTCTGTGTCTCTGGGCCTGAGGTGCAGTAGAACATCATGGTGGCAGGGGATGGTGCAAGTCAGAGGCTCAACTCATGAAGGCCAGGAAGCAGCCAAACAGAGCAAGGAAAGAGACAGGGAAAAATACAAGCCCTAAGGGAATGTCCCCAATGACATACTTCTTCCAGCCACACCCACCAGCCTACAGTTACCACTCAGTAATTGATTCAAATTATTGATGTAGCAAATGGATTAATCCACTGATTAGATCACAGTTCCTCTAATCCTTTCACTCTGAACATCCTGTATTGCAGCGTGACCATTTGGGGGACATGACATATCCAAGCCATAGCACACATATAATGGAAATACTATGAAAGACTCTAAGATAGAAAGGAATGCAAGACATATTTGAAGTTTAAATAACGATGGCGATCTTTCCAAAGTCTGTAATAGATACCAAACCACAGATGTAGGAAACTTAAAGACTTCTATGCATAATAAATATCAAAATATTCACACCTAGGCTTATCAGGTTCAAACTGCAGAAAACCAAAGACCAAGAGAAAATCTTAAAAACAAACAAACCAGCCACACAGAAGGGGGGAGGGAAAGCTGAGCTTATTTATAGAGGAAAAGGAAGAAAGTTACATTGGGCTTTTCTTCATAAATTATCCAGCAAGAAGAAAGTTGACTTAAATATTCAAAATGTGGAAGGATAAAGGCTCAGCACTATCCACTCTTCTCTTGTTACAGGAGACACTGCTGAGCCTTGGGATTCTTCTGCATGTGCTGCTGTACTACAGACAGTTCAACTCAAACTCTCCCAGGGTAACAGTGTCAGCATGTTCCATGGAGCCCAGTGTATCTCTAGGGTTGGGCTTTGTGGACTGATCTCCTTGTGTTGGAAAAAACAGTCATGATATGTAACAGTCATGGGATGCCCATGGCAGGTGGTATTGATGGGAAGGGAGGTGGTTCTCAACTGAGCTGGTTCATGTTGACAGTGAGAACATCACATAGGGAGAGTCCACCAGGTGTGGAATCACTGGAGATCAGACTGGTTGGTCATTAGAACTTACCTCTTTCAATTTGTCACTTAGAGGATGAAGAAAACCCCACGAAGTCCCACTCTAATCATATTGAGTTTAGAGGCTGAGCTGAAGTTAAAACTTGGGTCGTCTCATTCTCAGTAATGTACCTGATTGTCTTCAGGCTCCTTGCTCCCCAGACAGTGTTCATGGCAAAGAGTTCTTACTAAAGTGATAAGGGTTCCGGCTTCTGTTTGTCCTGATATCCCGCGTTGCCATTGACCATTGTGCTCCTTCTTAGAGCTTAATCTTACTACCCTTTTCTTAGGAACCAGAACGAGAACTATGATATTGTTGAATCAAGGTCCATTGGCCTTTCAAAATGTTTAGGCAAAATTTTATTTCATCTACTAATTTGCTAAGGCAAATGATACTGAATGACTACTGAAAAATAGTATTCGTTCCTCACTATTGAACATGCTATAGGAATCTTGGAATGGCTTATGATTCTTTATTCAGAATTTGGAGAAAATGATACTGCGAAAAATTTTATATCAAGTAAACTGAAGTTAGACTTGAAGAACTGCTATTTGATTTTATTTATCCTTTTATGGAAACTATTTTCCTGCCCCAAAGTCACAAGATCAAATTCAGTGTACCATAAACATGACTTTATAGCTCTATAAAATGGAAGTGTTCAGAGAATATTTGCCAGAAACCGTGCGTGATGGTTATTGTCAGTGAAACTCAATGTTCAAAATAAGTGAAATTAGCAACAAGAAATCGTAGGGTTTGAAATGCCTGTGAACCACAAGGAAAGCATTTCTTCTATTTTAACATGTATAAGAACCAGTGTCTGGGGTTAGGGGTTTAGAACTGTAAGAGTGCTTTCTTAAGAATCATGTTTTTCTTTGCTATGTTTTTGCAGGACCATCTTGTTTTGTGTTGGGTAGGAGATAGCGATAGTTCTCAGTTCCACCCAAACCCCTTATAACACTCAACCTGAAACACCTTCCTGTGGGAGGAAACTGGGCCATCTTGTAACCACAAGTGAGAAAGCTAGACCACCACCTGGGAAATTCAAGTGTGTGAAGGGAAAACCTCCAGTCTTGGGGGTGCGCAATAGCCCAAGGGACTGACGTAAAGTTAACTTGTTGCTATTTAACATATCATTGGCATTTCAATTTGCTCCCCTTCCATGCGTTATGGAAAAAGAAACTTACACATGAGCAGTAGGAAAGAAATTGTATAAAATTCAATTGTCAATCAAGGTGCCAACCAACCCAGATCCACCCCAGGCAGAAGGGAGAGAACTAGCGTCATGCTAGGTGAAATAAGTCAATTCCCCAAGACCAAAGCCCAGATGTTTTCTCTGTTAAGAGAATGCTAATTCATACTGGGGGGTGGGATGTAGGAAAGAATGAAGGAACTTTGGATTGTGCATAGGGGCATAAGGGGAGGGGTGTGGCTGTGGGGAGTGGGAAGGATGGTGGAATGAGACAGACATTATTACTCAATATACATGTATGATTACACTACTGGTGTGACTCTATACCACGTACAGCCAGAGAAATGAGAAGTTGTGCTCCATGGGTGTACAATGTGTCAAAATGCATTCTACTGGTCAAATAAATAAATAAAATTAACCACCACCACCCCCAAGTACAACAGATTTCAACAGCAGACTGGATCAAGCAAAATTTTAAACTTTGTGAACTTGAAAACATCTTGGAAAATTAGTCATAAGGGGGAAAAGAGTGGAGAAAAGCATAAAAAAATGTGAAGAAAATCTAAGGTACTGGTGGGATACCATTAACAAATTTTCACATTATGGGAGTTCCAGTAGGAGAAGAGACAGAAAGGGATAGAAAGTTCTTAGTCCTCCTTTGATATCAAAGCTCAAAGGTACTTATGCCATTAATGTAGATAGCAGATATGAGATCTGTATCAACAGATCTGTATAAACTTGTAAAGCTATGAGAGATTCTAATTCAAGTTGGCAGAATGTAAACTGGATTTAAAGTGCGGTATTAAAAAAAATTAAACAAAATTCAGTTCATCTGGGGGGCAACTAAAATAAATGAACGTTTTGAGGAGTCAACATTAAAAAGAATATAAAACACAGAATTATAATTCTACAAATTGTTTTATTTTGTTCTTTTCATACTAAAAGTGTTATCTTTTTCAGAGAACAACAGCTAGATGGTCAAACTCATGCTTAAGCCATGTGCATACTTGATCAGAGATGTCATAGGCTACTATGGCAGCAATAGCTTATAAACCCTCTTATATTAAATATGAACATTTTCCTAATACTGATTTTAAGTCACATCCCATTAATCTTCCTCATTAGCATGGGTTTGTTTTAAATATTCTAAACACCTGAAATAAACTATAAAATTTTTACGAGTAGAGACACTCTGGTTAATGATCAAACTGGTGTGGCCAGAGGAAAAGCAAGTGTTAATGAATATGAATGCAATCCTTACTAACACAAAATTGAACTATTTTCTCAATTAAAAAGCTAGTCATTGTATAAAGACTCATTTTTTTTCCACACCACAGTGAAAGGAACTTGAGTAATTCACCAATTTTGTTTTCTACTATTAGCCTTAAAAGATACCCTACTAAAAACTGATATCAGACACAACAGAATGACATTTGCACAGAATGTAATATTGTAGACACAGTACTGAGGTTGATTGTAACAGATTATGAAACTCTGTGTATCAAATGGTTGTATCTTAGTTATTTAGACAGAACATTGGTCCAATAGCATAAAAATAGAGAACACCATTTGGAAATGTCTCTCATTCGATGTTCAGAGATAAAAGGGTTAACCATTCTTGCCATTATTTTCTGCAGATAAGTCCTTGTTCATACTGAATCACCAGTTCTGGCATACTTCCAAAGTATTCCCAATAGTCCAGTTTTATTTCTGTCCAGGAGGCTGGATGCCAAGGACCATCAAGCACAAGTGCACATAAGCAGCAAGATTACAGTCAACACACTCTGAAAATTGAAAATGGCAGACATAGTGAGGCCATCGATGCCCCAGCCACGTCACCCTTCCAGGCCCAGGGAGGAAGAGCAAGACCAGGTTCTTTCTTTTACTCCAGTTTCTTCTTTGACTTTGAAAGGTGTTGTATTAATTATTGCTATGCCACCAACTTGTTCTAATTAGGGGGTGGGCACTGGAAATCGAACCCAGGGCACTCTACCACTGAGCTACATCCCACACTTTTTTTTTTTCTTTTGGAGACAGTATTGCTAAATAGCTGAGGCTGTCCTCAAACTTGTTATCTTCCTGCCTCCACCTCTCAAGTAGCTGAATGTACCACCAAGTTCAGGGAAACTCTATCACAGAACTTTTTTTTTCTTTTCTTTTTTACTCTTTATTTCAAGACAGGCTTTGGCTAAATTGCCCAGGCTGACCTTTAACTTTCCATCCTCTTGCCTGTGCCTCCTACATAGCTGGGGTTAAAGGTATGCGTCATAGTGCCCTGATACCTTGTTGCCATTGTGTGGACTTTCACAATGAATCTCCAACAGTGTAACATGCAAATAACATGTTTAAATTGTATAGTTTTCTATGAAAATAACATGGAGCCGTATGAAATTGTGAAAATGGGCCTTCAGAAGGCTTCTAAATGCCATTAGATTCGTTTGTGTGCATTAAGACCTTTCAACAGAGTTGGGCACACAACACATCCTCACGCTGACCCCCACAAATAGTCACCACTATTATTTTCATATGAAAGACTGTAAGCCATGATCACTGCTTTTCAGCAAATTGCACAATAGATAGACACTCCCATATTAGGGACAATAAAAAAGGAACTAGTCATTCTCAGAAATTCTCAGCACAGCCTTTCGGATTCAGAAAAAACACCAGAAAAAAAAAAGTGCAGATTTAATCTGAGTCAGGTGTGAAGTGGGAGGAGGTGATTCTAGCTTCACACAGAATCGAGGCACTTCTCTGGAGCCTGGACCCCATCAGACACAGCACATGCTGCAGGCTGGAAGAAGGTAGGTCCAGGGACATCCTTCCTGGGCTTTTGGACTGATGGATTTTCAGTTACTGGTTCTTAGACTCCTAGGAATAGGAGAAAGAATGAGACAGCTCACATAGCACATACCGGTACTGTGGATCGGGGAGGGTTGAGTCCACCCTGAAGTGTACATCTGGTGCATTTGAGGAGTAGGTTTGCAGCACAAGATGAAGATGGTCAACCACCTCCTAAAGTCCAAAGCTGGGTGTGTGTCAGTAGTTTTAGTTATTTTTGTTCTCTAACTTTCTGGGCTTTCAAAAAACTGTAAGCACATATTTTCAATGTTTGATTAATCAATTTATGTACCTTTAAAACACTCCTTCTTCTGTAGTTTTCATTCTCTGTCTCCAAACTTGACATTTTTATAATGTGACATTTAAAGAAAAGATCTGCCACATGCAGAATCTGGTGGAGAGAGGGCTTGGGGTTAAGGCAGGGTCCTCAGCCAAATGCACTTACAATGGTCCTGCCGTAGTCTGTGGCCTGGCTTAGTTCTCCAGTGGTCTTTGTCACCATGCATGGCACACCCAAGCCACAAACTGAAGTTGCTCATGAAGAACTATGCGGATGCAAAATTCTTAGAAGATTCTTAGCTTTGTGGAAATCACAAAGAAGATTGGGGGAAACTACCCAACGCACTCTCTTTTTAGAGAGATTAAAGAAACCTAGAGAGGGGAAATGACCTGCCCAGAATCAGACTCGTTAATGAAAGGGCTAGGACTATACTGGATTCTAGTCCAGTCTGTCTCCCTGCCCAGGTTACCATTTCTGTATCACCACCATTTTCTTCTTCAAAAAGAAAAACAAAAACATCCAGATGCAGGCCTCTTTTGGGGTCTATATTTTATAAGTTTGTCAAAGGTGAGTCTAGACCTTTAGACCACTCTTTTCATGCCTCCTTGGAGATGGTGACCCATGAGGGGTGTTAATATAAAAATAAGGACACAAACGATTGGTGATCATGCATTTCCACAAGGATTTGATAGCCATTAGGAGATGGAAGAATTGCCCATGTATCTCTATCTCTGTACCAGGAGCCCAAGTAAGTACACTGTAACCACCAATGGTCTCCCAGAGGTCACAGGCAATGCGGCAAAGTAAGTGTCAGATCTTCCCCAAAACCTGGAAGAAATGTTGTTCATACTATCCATGAGTCTGCATTTTGGGTTTTCTTGATATTTGAAAATGAAGACATTGATCATTGGAGTGTAGACATACATTTTTGTCCTTGGGGAGCTGACTTGTCCTGGGTCAGGACATGTGGATTTCTGTGATATGAAGGTAGGAGCTCCTCCCGTGGCCAGAGTCTCTTAGAAAGACATAGAGAGTATCAGCCTTCAGTGTCCAGAGCCTGACCTGTCTTGGCAGAGAATCAAAGTCACTTGAAAGCAGGTTTTGATATAATGTCTTTGTCCTGGGGAAGCCTGCCATCTTACTAGAGAGGCTTCAAATACAGAAGAGCCACCAGAGGTGTTTATAAATTTCCTAAATCCTCTATCTGAAGATAGACCCCACAGGCAGAGACCCCACTGCATAAAAGAGAATAAAATAAAGTACACATTCACTTAGACTGAAAAGAATCCTCTTTAGTTACTTCATAGCCATTTTGCTTCTGTGGTGTAACAGGGAGGTAAGTTGAGTGATTCATGTGCGGGGGGAGCTGTGTCTGAATGGAGGCAGACTGCGTGATACTGTCAGTGTACTTACGAGAAGGGTCAATGTTGGGGTGGGATGTTCTGCTTATTGTTATGAAGCAGACAGAGATGCAATTCATAGGGAAATTCCTATGAATGGGACCGACATGCCGAAATGCCCCAATATAAGAATGAAATTGTTGTTTTGGAAAAAACTAAAATAAGGCCAATGCATTAGAGATATCAAAAATAAAAAGGAGAGATAGCAGAGGGACAGGTGACTGTAATGTCAGATACTTAGATAGGCTGAGGCAGCAGGATCCAAAGTTCAAGGCCAGTCACAGCAACTTACTGAAACCATGCCTCAAGGTAAAATTTTAAAAGCCAGTGTGTTGGGGCAGGGGGGTGTTAGGAAAAAGAAGGAATGGGATAGCTCAGTGGTAGAACAGTACTGGTTTCATTTCCCAGGACCACAGAATAAATAAGTACATGAGAAAAGAAGTTCAAAATAAGGTCAGAGTAACAAAGGTGGACAGAATCAGCTGAATTTCTCTTATCAACAACTTTAAAAATGCTTAACTATTTATTAATAGTGTAATGCAAAGGAAGTGTTTTAAAGAAGAGGGTGACCAATAGGACCTTACCCTCCTCCCCATGATGTATATTTTTATATCACAATTGACTTTTTTCTACATTGGGTGTTCCCTTACAACTTGCGTCACCTTAGTTATTTTTGACCATTTTAATTTTTACCCAGCATATCGGTGATATGAATGATGTATACACCACCATGATAGTTTATTATGAATGTGAATATATGTCTACCTCTGCCAGTGGTTTTTTATACCTTCATATATTTTCATGATAATATTTATCCTTTAGTTTCTGCTTGAATAGCTCCATTAAGTACTTCCTATGTGATCAGTCTGGGGGTAATAAGTTCCCTATTGTTGCTTACCTGAGGAAATCTTCATTTTCCTTGATGGAGAGTTTTTTCTGGTTACACTATTTTGGGGTTGCGGTTATTGTCTTTATTTTAGCGCTTTGACTTTTTCATCCCCTTCTCTTCTGGCCCTCAGGATATTTTTGGTCAAGAAATCCACTGATGTGTAATCAAGATTCTCTTAGATTTGACTTGCTTTTTCTTTTGCTGTTGTAAGAGTCTATCTTTGTCTCTGACTTTGATGTTTTGTTTATAATATGCCTTGGAGAGGAGGTCTTTGGTTTGAATCTCTTTGGGAAATTTTGAGCTTCATGGATCTGGATGTCCATTTCTCTCCCTGGACTAGGGAACTGTTCGGCAATTATTTTATTAAGTGAACTTTCTATCCCTTTCTGTCTCTTCTCCTACTGGAACTCCCATAATGTGAAAATTTGTTAATGTATCCCACCAGTATCTTAGATTTTCTTCACATTTTTTTATGCTTCCCCCCACTCTTTTCCCCCTTACGGCTAATTTTCCAAGACGTTTTCAAGTTTACAAAGTTTAAAATTTTGCTTGATCCAGTCTGCTGTTGAAATCTGTTGTAGTTGGGGGTGGTGGTGGTTAATTTTATTTATTTTTTTGACAGTAGAATGCATTTTGACACATTGTACACCCATGGAGCACAACTTCTCATTCCTCTGGCTGTACGTGGTATAGTGTCACACCAGTAGTGTAATCATACATGTATATAGAGTAATAATGTCTGTCTTATTTCACCATCCTTCCCACCCCCACAGCCCCACCCCTCCCGTCATGGCCCTATGCACAATCCAAAGCTCCTTCATTCTTTCCTACCTTCCACTCCCCAGTATGAATTAGCATTTTCTTAACAGAGAAAGCATTTGGGCTTTGGTTTTGGGGGATTGACTTATTTCACTTAGCATGACATTCTCTAGTTTCATCCATTTACCTGCAAATGCCATAAATTCATTCTTCTTTAAGGCTGAGTAATATTTCATTGTGTATATATACCACATTTTTTTATCCATTCATCTGTTGAAGGACATCTAGGTTGGTTCCATAGTTTAGCTATTGTGAATTGAGTTTCTATGAACTTTTATGTGGCTGAGTCACTGTAGTGAGCTGATTTTCAATCCTTTGGATATAAATTGAGGAGTAGGATATCTGGGTCAGATGGTGGTTCCATTCTTAGTTTTCTGAGGAATTTCTATACTGCTTTCCTGAGTGGTTGTACCAATTTGCAGTCCCACCACCAATGTATCAGTGAATATTTTCCCCCACATCTTTGTCAACACTTATTATTGCTTGTAGTTTTTAGAATTGCCATTCTGACTGGAGTGAATGAAATCTTAGAGTAGTTTTGATTTGTATTTCTTTAATTGCTAGAGATAATGAACATTTTTTTCATATATTTGTTGATTGATTGTATTTTTTATTCTGTGAAGTGTCTGTTCAGTTCCTTAGCCCATTTATTGATTGGGTTATTATTATTATTATTTTTGGTGTTAAGTTTTTTGAGTTCTCTATATATTCTGGTGATTAGTGCTCTATCTAAGGAGCATGTGGTGAAGATGTTTTTTTCTTTTCTGAGAGAAGCTTTTTAGTTTGAATCCATCCCATTTATTAATTCTTGATTTTATTTCTTGCACTAGGAGTCTTGTTAAGGAAGTCATGTCCTAAGCTGACATCAGGAACATTTGGGCCTACTTTTTATTCTACTAGGTGCAGGATCTCTGTTCTAGTGCCAAAGTCTTTGATTCACTTTGAGTTGATTTTTGTGAGAAAGAGAAGTTTAATTTCATTTTGCTACATTAGGATTTCCACTTTTCCCAACACCATTTATTGAATAGACTACCTTTTCTCCTATGTATGTTTTTGGTGCCTTTTTCTAGTATGAGACAATCACATTTATGTGGGTTTGTCTCTGTGTCTTCTGCTTTGAACCATTTGTCTACATGTCTGTATGGGTACCAATACCATGCAGTTTTTGTTACTATTGCTCTGTAGGATAATTTAAGGTTTGGTATTGTGATGCCTCCTGCTTTACTCTTCTTGATAAAGATTGCTTTGGCTATTCTGGGTCTCTTGTTTTTCCAAATGAATTTCATGGAAATCTCTTATATTTTTAAATTTGATTTATTGAAGATTTCAGTTTTGAGTTTCTGTTTGGTTCTTTGTTTTACATATGTTATTTTATATAAGATAACATATATATTATAACATATAATATATTATATAACAATATATAAAATAACATATCATATGTTATATAATGTATTATATAATATATTAATATATGATTAATATATAATTAATATATTCTAGATTATATAATCTATACAATAGATTATATAATATATATTATACATGTATATCTTTAGTTTTTTGTTCAGATCATGAATTGTTTTTCTGATTTCATTGAATTGTCTAAATTGTCTACCTATATTATTTTGTATCTCTGAATTTCCTTAAGTTTATTTAATTCCTTTTCAGGAAACTCATGTAATTCTATTTCTTTGGAGTTAGTTATTGAGGAATTATTGTGTTCGTTGGAAAATGCCATATTTTCTTGTGTTTTCACATTTCTTGCGTATCTGTGTGGCTGGCTGCACAACTTTTGGAGCATCCACATCCTCAACACTTTACAAAGTACTCTTAAAGATCAAGATTTTCACCTGCACATGAGTCTGAGCTGGTGGGCTGGGCAAGAAGCAGTCATTCTGGCTCTGGTTGGGGGTAGTGTTGCAGGCTTCATGCAGTTGCTTCAGCTGTGTGGAGCTGAACAGGATCTTACAAAACTACTGTGTCCCTTGAAACTTTAGGAACATGTTCTCTCACTGAGGCACAAGTAGATGCAGATTGCCCATGAATCTGGGGTCTTTGACCCTGAGGGACAAACTAGCAGCTTGGACCTACAGGTTGGGGATCTTCGCTATGCATCGGCAAGTCAAGATTTAAGGCACTATAATAAGACAAGAGATTTAAAATGTGGTGTCAAGGGCATGACTCTGAGTCTTAAGTTCCATCCTCCAAGTCTGGGGTTTGTAGAACAAAATTCAAGGTTCCATAAAACACATTCACTAAAGACAGACAGTGGAAAGACTTCTAGTTCTGAGGGTGTACCTATGTTCCGATAAGAAAAAGGGGACTATAAAATACTATACATAAATGGTAATGCTGATGATTCTGGGTAGCTAACTACTAATATTAAAGTGATCCTTCAATGGAGAGGTGGCTATAACCAATGGAATATGAAAAATATGGATAGAGATCAATTCAATCACACTTAAATATGAAATTGAAGAAAATTTCCTAATTTGGGCGGGGGGGTCCAACATATTTACCTGGGTTCTCTCCACATTTTCCTGTCTTCAACACTAAGATCTTGACATCACGTGGTCTTTAGATTTTCTCTCTCTCTCTCCCCTTTTCTCCTTCTCCCCTTCTCTCCTCTTAATGTGTTCCTTTTTATGCCTTCCTTTCTTAAATAGCTATCATAATATAGTTCAGAATTTCCCCTTAGGGAGAAAGCTGACTCACACTGCAGTGTCCCTCTCTTGTCCCATCCAGGTCCTTATCCTGAATCAATTTCTTATTCTAGCACTGTTTCTGCTGCCATGATAACCATGCAAGGAACGGAACAGACCTCCGTGGAGGGCGGCCCTGCTCTGCAGTTCCTGGAGCAGGCAACCGCTCTACGCTCCCAAGTGTGGAAAAGGATGCAGAAGAAGTTCTTGAAGGGTGAACCCTTGGCTCTCGGGGTAAGTCAGTCGCCTGTGTGAGAGAAGACCAGGGGTGTAAACTCACACCCGATCAACCCAACGCCCAATACTGTCCCAGGAACCTTGTCGTTTACCCACCAGTCCTAGGATCTTCAGTGTTTAATTTTCAGGTCTTATCATTTGAAAAAAATTGCTATGGTACTCTGTCACATCATGTTTCTGATCCAGCTACATTTAAAGTATGGTGACTTTAGATCCATTCCAGGTGGTGAGTCATCCAGGAGAGTTCTATTTCAGCCCAGGGGAAGAACAGCTGCAGAAAGGGCTTAGTGGGCTAGCCGAGGTCCTCGCCACTGGCCTGTCTGGTAGTAGACAGACCATTTGTCCCTTTATCTGTCTCTCTGGTTCCTTTCTTAGCCTGATTCTCAGATGGTAAAAAATATTTTATCTTCCAAACACTTCTACCTGGAATCTCAGATGGATGTGGCTAAAGAAATGGAGAGTTTAAACATTGCCACTATAGGGCAGGTTAAGGGATGCTGAATACAGAGGTTTATTTTTATCCCAACTTCAGCTGGGCTCAACTAATTGTACTTTATATTCTCCCCCACCCCCTTATTCAAATTTTTTCAATTTTGGAAAATGCGTATTTATATTGACATATGCAATGTTTATTCTTCATATATTAAAAGGTGTTCTTTTTTTGGGGGGGGAGGGATACCAAGGATTGAACTCAGAGGCACTGAGCCACTCCCCAGCCTTGTTTTGTATTTTATTTAGAGACAGGTTCTCAAAAGTGAGGCTTAGTGTCTCACTTTTGCTGAGTCTGGCTTTGAACTTGTGATCCTTCTGCTTCAGTTTTGGGGTTATAGGAGTGTGCCACCACACCAGGCTTAGTAAGTATTCTTAAACAGACTTTTTAAAGAGGAATTTTAGTTTTACAGAACAATTGAGAGGAAAACACAGATATATCCCAGAGTCACTCTGTGCCCATACATACATAGTTTCCCATTATCAATCTCCCCCGCCAGTACATTTTTTACAATTGATTAACTTTCAGTGACAGATCATTATAATTCAAAGTCCGTAATACACATTAAGATTCTCTCTTTGGACAAATGTATAATACACATATCCACCTTCATAGTGTCAAAGTAATTTCCCTTTTCTGAAAATCCCCCATGCTCTGTGTACTCATTCTTCCTTCCTCTCTAGCCCCTGGAAACTGCTATTGTTTTAATTCCTCTATAGTTTGCCTTGTTCTAAAACTCATATTACTGGAATTAAATATCAATTTAAATTTAATGATTTAATTAAATGACAAATTAAATAATTTAGCCTTTTAATGTAGATTTCCTTCACTGGTAGTAGACAGACCATTTGTCCCTTTATTCATTGTTTCCTCCATGTTTTTTTATGACCTGATAGCTTGTTTCAATTTAGCACTGAAATATTCCTTTTTCTGAATGTACCACAGTTCCTTTTTACACATTCTTCTATAAAATGATATTTTGGTTGCAAATGTCAATAAAGCTGCTATGGATATCTGTGTCTGGGTTTCCAATGGTCATAAATGTTCAACTCATTGGAGCGAACACAATTGCTGGAGTATATGGTGTTCAAGTCCATTTTGTGTTGTTAGAAAAAAATACCTGAGGCTTGGTAACTTAAGAAAAAAATGAGTTTATAGGGTTTACACTTGTGGTGGCTGAGAAGTGAAAATTGTATTGCCTTCTAGTGAGAGTCCCTTGGCTACATCCAGACATTTTGGAGGAGGATATAGAAAAAGTACATGCCGCACCTGAATTTATAACAGTTTGCTTTTGTGAGAGCTACCCCTCTCCTCAAGACCAGTAAAAACCCCTTACATGGATGGTTCCACATGAACTAATTACCTTTCACAAGGCCTAACCTCTTCAGGGTCCTGCCACCTCAACTCTACCACATTGGAAACCAAGCTTTCATCACCCAAACCTTTGGAAGACAAACTAAATCCGAATCATAGCGTATTGTAAGAATTTGTTCAGTTTTGTAAGAAACTTGCTGAATTCCTTTATCACGAATACAAATAATAATAAATGCTGGTGAGGATGTAGGGAAAAAGGATTTACTTATAGACTATAGAACTGTAAATGAGTAAAACCATATAAAAATCAGCATGGAGATTTCTCAAAAGACTGGGAATGGAACCACCATATGACCCAGCTATTCTACTCCTTGGGATCTATGCAAAAGAATTAAAGTCAGCATACCATAATGATACATGCATACTCATGTTTAGAGCAATACAATCAGGGGACTGAAGTATCCATAAATGGATGAGTGGATAAAGAATAGGTGTAACTGTGTGTGTGTGTGTGTGTGTGAGTGTGTGTGTTTGTGTGTACATACATATTGAATATTTTCAATGCTAATTGAAACAAGCTATCAAGCCAGGAAAAAAAAATGGAGGAAACTTTATGTGTATTAAGTGAAAGAAATCTGCATTATGGGTACCACACACACACACACACACACACACACACACAGAGAGAGAGAGAGAGAGAAAGAGAGAGAGAGAGAGAGAGTGGAGTTTTATTTAGGCATAAAGAAGAGCCAAATTATGTCACTTGATGGAACTAGAGAACATTATGTTCAATGAACTAAGACAGACTTATCTTTTCTTCATTGTATCACTTTTTTTTTTTGCTTTTTTCAAAGATCAGTTGATGCTGTTTATGTGCCAATTTCTGAGCTTTCTATTCTATTCCCTTGATCTGTTTTACTATTTTTTTACAATACCACAGTGTCTTGATAAATGTAGCTTTCTAATATGCACTGAAGTTGTATAGTGTTAGTCTTCTTACTCTATTCTTCATCAATATTACATCTGCTATAAACTTCAGAATCAGTTTGTTCATACCTACAAAATGACTTATTGGGATTTTTAGATTGCATTGAATCTCTACATAAAGTTGGGAAGAAATTAAATCTTGACAATATTAAGTCTTCCTGTCTATGAACAAGGAATAGAATATCTTCTCAGGTTTTCTTAATTCTTTGATCTAATCCATCAGAGTTTTATAGTTTTCCTTACAGGTTTTGTACAAGTTTTTCAGATTTACACATAACAATCCCAAATCAATACCTAAGTATGTAATTTTTAAGGTTACTAATTTAAATAGAGTAAGCCATGCTGAAGATAGAATCTCAGAACTGAAAGACAAAGTGGCCAGCCTTGAATATTCAGCTAGTATCAAAGGAAAAAAAAATAAGTAAGATGATAAGAATATGTAGGAACTCTGGGATAACATGAAAAGACCCAATTTAAGAAACACTGGAATTTTGAGGGCTCTGAGGTGCAAGCTAATGGAATGGATAAACTCTTCAAGGAAATAATAATAGAAAAAATTTCCAAACCTTCAGAATGAGATGGACATTCAGATACAGGAAGAATTCAGAACCTCAAATAGAGCAGATCAAAAAAGAGGCTCTTCAAGACCCATTATAATTAAAATGCTTAACATACAAAACAAGGATAAAATAAAAGCTTTAAGGGAAAAATGTCAGGTTACATTTAGAGGTAAACATTCAGAATCATATATCCTCCAAACCCTGTTATAGTCAGTTATGAGTTTTATTAGTTCCAGGAGTATTTTGTTTTGTTTTACCTTCAGACTTTTCTACATGACCATCATGTCATTTATGAACATTTTTAGTTCTTCCATATATATATATATATATATATATATATATATATATATATATATATTTCTCTTATTTCCTTTACTTTTTAATGTTAGTTTAGGTAGGACTTTAGCACAGTGTTGAAAGAAGTACCTTTCCCTTCATCTTGATGGGAAATCTTTGAGTTTCTCACTGTTAACTATGAAGGGAGCTGTGGGATTTTTGTAGGTATTCTTTAGCAAGTTGAGGAAGTTCCTCCCCATTTCTAATTTACTAGGAGTTTTTTAAATGCCTATTCTGCATCTATTGATATGATCACATGATTTTTCTTCAGTTTATTGATGTGATAGTTAAGATTAATTTATTTTTAAATGTTGAACTTACCTACCTGGGATAAATATCACTTGTTACAGAAGATAGTTCTTTTTATACCTTCTTAGATTCAATTCAATGATGTTTTGTTGAGGATTTTAGTATCCATATTAATATTTTAGTAAGAATTTCAAAGGTGTTGACTTTCAGTTTTCTTTCTTCTTATTTATTTATTTGTTTATTATTTGGGGTAATTTCTGTCTGGGTTTGCTATTATGATAGTGCCCTCTCTCATAGAATGAGTTAGAATGCATGCCCACTATTTATACTTTCTGGAAGATATTATAGAGAACTGGTATCATTTCTTTTTTTAAGAATTCGTTAGAATTTGCTATTGAAATCTTCTGTAATTGGTACTTTCTGTTTTGGAATATTTAAATCATGAAGTCATCTTATTTAATGACATAAGCCTACTCAGATCAGCTATTTCTTATTGTGAGTTTTGGTACATTATGCCTTGAGGACTTATCACTTCATCTAGGTTACCTCATTTGTGGGTACAGAGTTTCTTATAGTATTCCTTTACTAACCTTTTTATGCCCTAGGTTCTGCAATAACATTCCTTATTTCATATCTAATATTTCTAATTGGTATTCTCCTATTTCTTTCATAGACTGGCTAAAAGGAAATTGATTTAAAAGCATTCCTCGGGGTGCTTTATTTATCTTTAAAAACAGTTTTTCTATTTTTGTTGCCTTTGGCTATTGGTTTCATATTTTCATTTTCATTGATTTCTCTTATGCTTTTTATTTTTTCTTGTTTCCTTTGGACTTAATTTGTTCTTCTTTTTTTCTGGTTTCCTCAGATGAAAGCTCAGGGGATTGGTTTTAGGTCTTTCATCTTTTCTTATGCATGCACACATGTTATGAATTTCCCTTTACACACTACCTTCACTACATCCCCAAGGTTGTGATACTATTTTCATTTTCTTCAACTCCTTCTTAATACCTTTTGCGCAACTGAACTCCAATTCCTCATTTTTATTTACTGTACTCAAATTTGTCAGGTTTCTGTTGTCACGACTAAAAGGCTCAGGGGTTACTCCAGTTGAACTGGGCTAACTGGGCTGTGCAAAATAACCACACAAGAGACACAAATACCTTTTTGTTTGGGGTCACTGTGACGGCTCCTCTGACATTAAGGGTCCACAGGAAGAGAGAGAGCGAGAGCTGACCCATTTTATTGAGGAGAAGCTATTCAAATGAGGCAAGGGGTCAGGTTTCAGGGGGCTGAGTATCTTCATGATGTCCACTGTCAGCAGGTTGACTGACACCTGGGTAGGCCACACCCAAGGGCACAGTAAGAGAAGGTGACACACACACAAGGCACTTCCATGGAAGATTCTATCCTAAACAAGGCAAGGGGTTATATTACAAAGGAACAGGTGAGCATAGCTTCACCCATGGGGCTGTAGGAAGACACACCCATGCACCAGACACCAACCCTCGAACCCAAGAAGGGTGGGGAAAGCTCTGCCACATTTCTGTGACTGAGCACCTCAGCACCCAGCCGGGGAGTGTGACTCAGTCACGTGCAAGGTTGGTCTCCCACACAAATTCTTTCCTCAGATCCCAAAAGAATGCCACATTTGTTCTCTGCCTCCATCTAAGTTTTTTTTTTTTCCTTCAGGTTACCTCTTCTTGCTAGAATGATTGCTTCCTATGTCCTGTATGACTCCTGTTTGAGCATGTGACAAAGAGAACAGCCATTGTGGTAGAAGAAGCAATGAGAGTATCAGAAAAGTGCCCTGAGCAGGTTTTGGCATGCTCCTTCTAACCTTGAAATTAATGGGTCAATGATAAATATTCTGAGGAATAATTTTGATAAGTTAGAATATCCACAGTTCTTGATGAGAAAAAAAAGTGATAAGAATATCTGGAAATTCATCAGACTATATCAAAAGATGGAGAATGAGGGTCACTTAGTGTTTGGATATGAGATAGCATGGTCACAATTTTGGTGGTGGATGATCTTTTTTAACTTTCTTTGTCATTTCTAGGTTGTGCAGATTATAATTGCCCTGATTATCTTCATCTTTGGGATAATAATGATGACTCTCAAGTGGTTCACTTATGGACCACTTATAATTTCGGGGTACACAGTTTGGGGGTCACTGATGGTGAGTAGCATATCTTCTGGAATAACTGGAGGTATCTTAACACTGTTGTTAATAAGGTGAGGCTTTGCATGGAATCCTACCCCAACTCTCTCTAGTAGTTCTAGAACTTTGAGAAAGATATATTCAACCTTGCGATGACTCAGATTTTTCATATTTAAAGTGTCAATGAAAATACAAAACTCATGGAAAGTTGGATCTACCAAATATTTAGTATGGATCTATTAGGATAGAGCATAGCAGCCTGTAACCACAGGCTCAAATCAGAACAAATTAAAGATTGACAGCAAAAGCAGACCACAAAAAGTGCAAAGGCTAGTCAGTTCCAGAGCTGGTATCCTGTAGTGTAAGAATTTATCTGACTGGCTGACACATCTCATGTTCACAAATGTGTTATAGGTGTATTCTTAAACCAGATATGGGCAATAATAATGCACTTACTAGTGTTAACTTGGACTAATCGAGAATCATTTCTGTGTCTGTTCACCCTGCTCGGAAGCTCATGGGAGTCTAAACAAAATGAGGGTGTTGTTAGAAAGGAAGAAGAGAAGACATAACTGACAGGCAATTTGTACTGTCGAACTCATCTTAGAAAACGGAGTTGCTGTTAGATAAGTTTTGTTTCACAAGTTTAATGAACGTAACTACAATTTATATTAGAATTTAAGAAAATTTAGAAATATTTCCCTAAAAAACCCACATATACAAGAAGAGGTTTTTTTTGTTGTTGTTGTTTTTGTTTTAGCAAATTGAAAGTGTAAACTGAGTATATAAATTATCTTTTCGTCTACCGACAAGAGAAAGGTAAACTGTCTAAAATGCGTCTCTGTTAGAATCAGGGAACATATTCAAGTATAAAGGATATCCACGTATCTATAAAATTGAGAATAAGACAGTTTAGAGTTTTGTGAGAGACTTGCCTTTTTAATTTTTCTGTCCTGCTGACAGTTGAAGTGCCAGTTTTGAAGAACAGCAAATGCAGATCTTTTGGAAGCTGAGCTACACTTTATTTAATAATACCAAGGCCAAAAGAGCTTTTATGAAACTCTTACCCAAATCTGGGCTCCCTGCTGAGTGGCACAGTCCTGTCCCAAGTAATCACCACCAACTTCTGAGGGAGGATTTGTCTTCATAGCATGGATGAAGCAATCGTGACTTACAGGGCTTAAGGAAATTTCCCAAGATCTTTTTGGTATAGGAATCATGACTTGAAAAGCATCAGTCCAGTTCTAGGATCACACACCACTCTAACCACTCTAGTTTTCCACTTCCACTTTTTTTTTTTTTGTAAGACGAGGATGGAAACCACCTTACCCAGTTCATGACTTCCATGCATGTTTAGTGGTTCACTGGGAACTACAGGATCTGTCATCAGAGGAATGCAGGTGTTTGCCACCTGACAAGCCTTTGCTTAGTCATGAGAAACATTTTTGCTGATACCTTCAATTATTTTCTCACCCTTACTTCCAAATTTCAGTTGAAAAGTGCCTCTCTTTTCTCCTTTATATGGTACAAGTTCAAAGACCAATTGTACAGTTTTCTTAGGTCTCCAGTACAGCTATGGATCTTGATGAGAATCTTGGAGCATTATCCCCACTTTGGTCTATTTATTCAAGCTTGCTTTTGTTTCCTTTGGAACACTGTCGTGTTTTACTCATGTATATCTTTTGCATTCCTTGTTAAGTCTAGTCTTCTGAGATGCTATATATAATTTTTGCTATGCTTCATGATATTTTCTTATTAAGTCTTATCTTTTAACGTACAAATAGACAAATATTTATAAATCATATATAATTTCTGGCACAGCATATCTGATATTGTGTACAACATATATAATATATAATGTTTTCCATGTGCCTGACTGAACTTTCAATAGTTAGTATTAGTTTTTAGATGATATTCTTGGATGTTTCAAATATAAATCATATTCATATGTGAATAAGAGTAAGTCTAACAAATTATTCAAATATTTTCTCACCTAAGTATTTTGGTTACTGTACTCAGAATACTATTATATAATAATCCATATCATTATCTTGATTTTAATTTTAAGGAGGAGACCCTAGTATTTCCCCACTGAACATGATAAAAACTTTTAGGTGAAGACAGACATTCTATCATATTACAGAAAATACAGTTCTTCACATTCTATTAACCATGTTTAAGTCAATAGTAATTTTGAATTGTTTAAATGCCTTATCAACATTGTAAATAACAGTAGCAATTAATGTGATTTTTCCCTTAATACCACAAATTTAATAAATTAATAAGTTATAGTAAGTTATAATTTCTGATATATCTTTAAAGTTTTTTTAACCACATTTTTCCCTCTTATTCCTAGTTTATTATTTCAGGCTCCTTTTCAATTGCAGCAGGAAAAAGAACTACAAAAGGAATGGTAATATTTCTTTTCATTTTACTTCAGCATTGAAAGGGGAAGGATTTAATCAAATGTGCATTCTTCCAGAACAGAAAGCAAAGTTTGTTTCTTTGATTTAAAAACATCAAGAGATATTATGAATTCTACCTAGAAAGATCTTCCTTTCAAAAATGGTGGACGAACAATTGGCTGATGATAGAGTTACTGACATTGACCAGATATTTTGGCAGAGTAGTTGCTGCACAAATTGTTATGCAGATATAGGATATAGAGAATTCTAGAAAATAAATGTCAGGTGGATTCAGCCATCCAAGTCTTGAAGCTTGAGATCCAGCCCACAATGACAACATCAAGTATTGGAGTGGACTAATCTTTATTGACTTACTGATGAAAATGAGTATTCCAACTGTATCCAGGAAGGATTTGAGTTTGCAATAAAGGAAGTTCCTCAAGCACTATTACATAAGAAGAAGTGAATTTAAAACATAACTCTTGGGTCAGCATGTAAAAGTCAAAAGTCCAGATCTCAGCAAACATTTTACTTACTGGCTAAGGGCCATATTTGAGTTTTCTTTGCTCAAGGATAAATTTTAAATTCTGGAGCATAATAAATACAGTCTTTCCAAATTTGTCCTCCACCTACCTTCCTGCCTTCTCCACCAGCTACTGCCATTAAAATGTACCTTGCACTACACACACACCAAACCTCACACTTGCCTGAGCAATTTCTATTTCTATAAAAAGCTTCCATACCTTCTCCATGAGAAGAGAATACGAACAAAAGCATACACAAAAGAGAGACATAATATGAGAATAGAGGCATGAGAGTTGAGAAGCAGTTAGAAATGATGAGAGGTCACTCACCTGCAGCAGAGCAGGGGAGGAAATGGACGCAGGAACAGTACAAGGGACTTTGAAATCTCTCCTGGGGGATTGAGAGTTCATCTCTTGTGCCCATAGGAGTTATCTGAAGGATTTAATCTTTGTTTTTCCTTTTGATTGGCACATTATAGTTATACATAACAGTGTGACTTTTTATGATATATTCATACATGCACACCAATAAAACAGTATAATTTGATCAATTCCATTCCCCAATACCTCCCCCTTTCCTCCCCTCCCTCTCCCCTGGTCCCTGTTTCTATTTTTCTGGTCTCCCTTCTATTTTTTTAAACATAATAGTTCTAATTACTTATAGATCACAGTAGAATGCATTTTGACACATTGTATACAAATGGAGCACAACTTCTCATCCTCTGTCTGTACATCATAATGCAGAGTCACTCCAGTAGTGTAATCATACATATGGTAATAATGTCTGTCTCATTCTACCCTCCATCTCATCCCCACAGCCCCATCCCTCCCCTCACACCCCTCTGCACAATCCAAAGTTTCTTCATTCTTCCCCTACAAGCCTCCCTCCCCACAATATGGATCAGCATCAACTTATCAGAGAACACATTTGGCCTTTTGGTTTTTGGGATTGGTTTACTTCACTTAGTATGATGTTGTCTAGTTCCTTCCATTTACCTGCAGATGTTATAATTTCATTTTCATTTAAGGCTGAGTAATATTCCATTGTGCGTTTGTACCACATTTTATTTATCCATTCTTCTGTTGAAGAGCACCAAGGTTGGTACCATAGTTTAGCTATTGTGAATTGAACTGCTATGAACATTGATGTGGCTGCGTCACTGCGTCACTGTGTATGCTGAATTTAAGTCCTTTGATTATAAACCCATTTGACCCATATAACTGAGTCAAATGGTAGTTCCACTCCAAGTTTTCTGAAGAATCTCCAGACTGCTTTCCAAAATGGTTGCAGGAATTTGCAGTCCAACCAACAATGTATGAGTGTACCTTTTCCCCCACATCCTCGCCAACACTTATTGTTGCTAGTATTCTTGATAACTGCCATTCTGACTGGAGTGAGATAAAATCAGAGTAGTTTTGATTTGCATTTCTCTAATTAGCAGAGATGATAAAAGTTTTTTCCATCTTTTTTTGGTTGATTGTAGTTCTTCTTCTGTGTAGTGTCTGTTCAGTTCCTTAGTCCATTTATTGATTGGGTTATTTGGGGTTTTGGTGTTAAGTGTTTTGAGTTCTTTATCTATGAAGGATTTATTCTTGGGAAGAACAAGATCATATTTTTGTTTCAGCAAAAATTTAGGATTGAAAGTCCTGAGGGAAAAGAGTCGATTTAAGAGATCATTAATGAAGATTGAGAGGATGAAATGGGATGGGAAAGAGGTAGAGGTTGAAAGAGATTGATGGAGATCTATCTGGGGATGTTGTGGGTTGTTTAATTGATTTTCATTGCTTCCTAGGTCCGAAGCAGTCTAGGCCTGAACATTGTCAGCTCTGTGTTGGCTTCCACAGGGATGATCATCACTATAATTAATGTGGCTATTTTTACCAACTTTTACTATTACTGTAACTACAATGAGATTTCGGATCATTGTGGGACCATGAAAACTTTAATGGTAAGTGCTTCCTCTTTTCCTGGGATACCAGGGTGGAAGAAGTACGCAGGGCTCTGACCTTGGCAAAAGCAACCTCCATTAATTAGTGAGGCACTTCGGGAATTTGGATGTGACTGAGAAATAGAACGGTCTTTTATTTAGCCATCAGGTTCACCTCTCATTGCTGTTTGTTCTTCCTCTACATAGCATGAGGCCAACCGAGTAGAAAGCAATATTGATAGAGCACATACTCATTAAATAGCTACTGAGATGAGCATGTTTGCACCATTTTTCCTGTTTAATTTTAAAACACGGATCAGTGTGTACTATTATGTACACTTTAAAAAAAAAGGAGGGCAGATGTCAGTTCCTATAGGTCCTCAGGGCTTCCTGAGGGAGCCTGATGAAGTTACATGGTCCTCTAGTAATATTTGAAAATTGTCTTGAACGTTATCCTACAGGTGGTGATAAATCCAGCAACCTTCTTGACATCTCTTGACATAATTCCCAATGTTCAAATATCCTTCCGAGGACATTTTAGCCTCCACATCCAGCTCCCGACAAATTCTCCCTCTTTGTTGTGTATCTTGAGTACTTTTTTCTGTATCACTTACAATGGATTTGGGGCAAATAAGCTTGGACCCTCTCATCTCCGTTCCTTGTGTTCCTTCGTTGTGCTTTGTTTTAGGGTCTGGAGTGTGTGGTGCTTATTCTGAGTGTGCTAGAATTCTGCATTGCTGTGTCCCTCTCTGCTTTTGGATGCAAAGTGATCTGCTGCAGCCCCGGTGAGGTGAGAATCGGCCTTCCTTTGAAGGCGTCTCTACCAGTTTTCTATTGCTGTGTGATGGACTTCACAGACCTGCTAGTCAAACCCTAGCAGCTGGTGGGATTCTGTCTTCTGCTCTCCCAGGAGGCTTAAGACAGCACAGGTTGATTATCTCAGTTACAGCTTAGCTGGGTCCTCTCCTCAGGGTCTTACCAGGCTGTACTCATGGAGCTCGTTGAGCCATGGTCTCATATGAAGTTTCTAGCCCTCTTCCATGCTCATGTGGCTTATTTCACATGAAATATGAAATACTTCTCTGAGGACATACTTCTCTGAGGACAGCAGGACAGCCTATGTCTCAAGTTCTTTCAGTCTCACAGGATTAGGTAAGATCCATCCAGAGCAATGTTCTTTTTGATATACTCAGAGTCAACTGATTCCTAACCTCCTTACAGGAGTGTCACCTCCTCGAATTGACAGGTTCCACCTTTTACATTTTCTGTCATCTCCCAACAGTCCATTCAATTAGGAATCCATCAGTGAATTAATATACCGATGAGGTTACAGCCCTATGATCCAAACAGTTCTCCAAAGTCCCACACTCAAGGGGAGAGAATCACAAAAGCCTCAACTATTGGGTGTGATCTTAGGAGTCTGACTATCCCCCTTCAAGGGTATCATGAGTCTAGATCAGAGACTTCTTCACTGCTGCAGTCTGGCTGGGCACAAAATAACCGAGCCGCCACATAGCCTTGTAGGTTCAAACAGCAACCTTTGTTCCCGAACTCTCAAGGGCACTCTCCACACACGCTCCCTGGGAACCTCTCTCTAACACCACCCACGCTACTCCCCCAGGCGCGTGCACACACACACACACACACACACACACACACACACACCAACCGGAAGTCCCTCCTCTGGACCTTCCCCAACCAATGTGAACCCTCCAGGAATCCCCGCGAGAACTCCAAAGTAGCTCGAGAACTCCAAAGCAGCGGTGCCCGGCGCCCGAGGCAGCAAGAGCCGCCCCATTGCCCAACAGTAAAGGTCAAATATACAATACAATCAATCCAGCATCACAGCAATTATATATAGCTTAACTCAAATCATCATCTCAATGGTTCCCTGGCGTCACCTTTCAAACATTCCCTCTGGCAAATGCCAGGCGTCATTCTGACTGGGCCGTGGCTCTCAACACTTCACAATGGAGAGGTCCTCCAAGAACGCCAGATTTTGTTTCATTACTCAATTACAGAAAACTTCCCTAGACTACTGAAGAAATTCCAGGGATTAAACTCCTTTATCCATTTTGAGACCTGCAGTAGATTCTGTCTTCTGCTCTCCCAGAAAATAATGACTCACACAGAGAGTAAGGCAAGAAATGGAGAGAAGAGACCAGGAAAGAGGTCCTAAAAAGAATAGGGTGGTGACAGGGGCTGGGGACAAGGTATAGTCTTCAAGGACACACCCTCAAAGACCTACTCCCTTCAACTAGATCTCACCTCCGATAGTTTCCACCATCTCCCTATAGTCCACTCAAATGATGAATATATCAATAGACTAATCCACTGATAAGGTTGGAGCTCCCTGGATCCGATCACTTCCTAAAACATCTACCTGTGAATATTGCTGTACTGAGGACCAAGCTTTCGATATTTGAGCCTTTGGGGAGATGCTCCAGATCCAGCCATAAGGTTGATGAGGGGTTTCCTCTAAACATTGAGGGATCCAGAAAGAAAGTGGCTAGTAAAACCCTAGCAGCTGGTGGGACTGCAAATTGGTGCAACCACTCTGGAAAGCAGTATGGAGATTCCTCAGAAAACTAAGAATGGAACCACCATTTGACCCAGTTATTCCACTCCTCCGCACATACCCCAAAGACTTGAAATTAGCATACTGTAGTGGTACAGCCACATCAATGTTTATAGCAACTCAATTCACAAGAGCTAAGCTATGGAACCAACCAAGGTGCCCTTCAACAAATGAAGGGATAAAGAAAATGTGGTACATATACACAACATAATATTACTCAGCCATAAAGAAGAATGAAATTATGGCATTTGCTGGTAAATGGATGGAAGTGGAGAATATCATCTAAGTGAAATAAGCCAATTCCTCAAAACCAAAGGTTGAATGCTCTCCCTGATATGGAGATGCTAACTCACAATAAGCAAAGGGGGGTGAGTAGGGAAGAATACAAGTACTTTGGATTAGACAAAGAGGATTGGAGGGAAGTTAGGGGAATGGGAATAGAAAGCCAGTAGAATGGATCAAGCATTACTTTCCTATGTTCATATATGAACACACAACCGATGTAATTCCACATCATGTACAACCAGAAGAGGAAGTTGTACTCCATGTATGTATAATATGTCAAAATATATTCTATTGTCATGTATCACCACAAATAAAAAATAAATAAGTAAATAAATAAAACCCAGCAGCTGCTCATTAGCTTCATTACACAAAGGCCCTGGGGCAGCAAAACTCACAGACAAATATAGAACAACAGTTTAATGAGATTGCTCTTGTGGTTCTCATTTCTGTTCTTTGTGTCTCTTTGCCTTCTTTTGAGGCTCCAAGGCAACACCACAAAAAACACCCCCACAGAAGACACAGGAGCTAAATCACCTGAAGTCTCATAGTGGGTTTTGCCTAATTGAGGTCTGAGAAGTGTGAGTTTCCTGATAATTCCTGCCACCCTGGGCCAGTGTGGGTTCAGTGGGGCTTTATTGTGGCAGCAGATAATGATTTGGATGTGCACTGTCATCAGCATGAGTAACCTGGTTTGGAGGAGCAGCCCTGCATTTCCCATAGCACCTGGGTTAGGGGTAACTCCTCAGGGACCATCGTTCTCGAATAAGATGGATCAACTCTAAGGCTCCCAGCCATCAGCATCTCAGGCCCAGAGCCATCACTGGGTGAGGCTCCTAGATCTAGCCTGGTCTGAGGAACACCTGAGAGTCCAGGCTGCTCTGGATGGAATTCAGAGAAGGTGGTGTGGACACTGCAGATGACATAAGTGGGTGGGGAAGGGAGGCCTGACATAGTTTGGTCACTCACTTGTGGCATTCTCATTTATTTCACAGGCCCTGATAATTCTGCCACCAAATCCTCCTGTGACAGAAACAGCAGCTTGTGCACCATTTAAGGAGGTGTAATGCCACCATCAAGAGAAAAATGTTCCAGAAAATCTATTCTTACTTTAACTCAAGAATGTAATTTAGAATCCCACTCTGATTTGTGTGTGTGTGTGTGTGTGTGTTTATAAATTCAGAATCGTGTTCTCATTTTTCTCCAGGAACTTGACAACTCAATCCTCTGTATCTTTATCAGAATATTTGAAATTAAATAAATAAAGCATGCATTTAAGGGTCAGCAGAACTGTAAGGGTCCCGCGAAACGTCGGAGAAAGAGACCACCAAGTGACCACTCATGCAATTGGCAAAAGGGGATTTATTGAACCAGCATGCTGGGGCTCCGTGCCCACTCAAGAAGGGAAAGCAGCCCAGAGCCCCGAGCAGCGGCTGAACACTGCTTAAGTACACTTTTTGGGGAGGGCGGAGGGCGGAGGGCTTTGTATACATCAGAACAAATCATCATGAGGCGCGGGAAAATTGAACAACAACTCCTAAACATGATTAGTTCATTCATTGGCGGGAACAGGTCAGGCTGGAGTGATAGGTCATTCCTAAGGAGGGGGTTACATTTAAACTGATTGGTCCAGGCCCTGCAAGGCCTACGTGCGACCACACAGACCCCTTCAGTTATTGAACAACCAGACAATCAGGGGAAATGTTTACTGGGCGGTTCTAAGCATTGTCTTAACAGCTACAGAAATTTCAGGTTTTGCAGGTAGCATAGAACCCTAACAATACCTCCTTTACATTTTAACTCAGACCTTGCAGCTTAGAAACTTTTACAACACCCGGTCTTTTACCCTTTAACCTTTACGCTTTAACTTCAATTTCTTTTACCCTTACAGAACTTGGACGTTTTCATTTATTCTCAAGACTTGACATATAGGGATTAAACATGCAAAGAAACTGTGATTGCTGCTAAAATGAGACAGCTGGGGCACAGATTATTTTTCCTTCAAGAAATTTGAATACATGTGTCTCCCCACTTTTTCTTTCTTTTTTCCCATGAAAAGTGCCATGGGATAGCACAACCAGTCCTTGCATGTGCCTGAGTATTGAGCATAAGTATGTGTGGATCAGATACAACTCATATTTTCTCTCCCTCTCTCCTGCTATTTCCTACTAGGCAGGATTGAATTTTAATGAGATTTGTTTCCAGTTCCATACACAGGATTATACAATACACCATTTTTAATAAATATTCATCAAATCTACTTGATTTTGTTATTACAGAGCAAAAATAAATAAAATTAAAAGCAATTTATTCATGTGTTACCTGTTTCCCATTCAGATGCCCATATTTGTGACAAGAGACTTTAGTATTGAGGTCAGAAAAAAGAGTAATGTGCTAAAGAATGTGAGCTTTCTATACTACCAACTTAGGGTTTTTATCTTGAAGATCTCATCTCTTTTATTTGCTATGTGTCTAAGCCAGGCAGAGAAAGGGAAAAAGTATATGATCTCATTTAGGAGAAAAATGTTGAAGGCAGAAAACCAAACAGTAGTTATTTGGGGTGGAGGGAGGGGAGAAGGAATGAGGTGGGGAGATAAAGATCAAAGGATACAACATAGTAGATATGTAGAGATGTACAATATGAAGACTTCATATTTGGGTAGATTTCATCTGCTCTACAGACACACACACAGGTAATTATGTAAGATGATAGTCATATCAATTTGTTTCACTGTAGTAATCATTTTTGTTTTATGTATCTCATAATATCACATTGTATTGAAAGGGTAACGTTTCTAAGCTGCAAAGCCTGAGTTAAAATGTAAAGGACCAGGTATTGTTAAGTTTCTAAGCTACACTCAAAGCCTGAAATTCCTGTAGCTGTTAGGACAATTCCCAGGACTGCCCATTAGATAATTCCCCTTTGATTACCTAGTTGCTTAACAACCCGGACCCCGAGCAGCTCAGCACGTATGCACTCTGGGGCCTAAACCAATCAGTTTGAATGTGTACCCCGCCTTAGGACTGACCTGTCACCCCCGCCCGACCTGTTCCCGCCAATGAATGTACTAATCATGTTTGAGAATTGTTGTTTGATTTTCCCGTGGTGTATGGTGATTTGTTAAAGGGGACTGTGATATATGTAAAGTCCCTGCCCTCCCTAAAAAAGTGTACTTAAGTGTACTGCTCAACCCCTGCTCGGGGCTCTTGGCCGCTCTCCCTTCTTGAGTGAGCCTGGAGCCCCAGAGGATCTGCAATAAACCCCCTTTTGCTGTTGCATGAGTCGGTCTCTTGGTGGTCTCTTCCTCCGTCGTTCGCCGGACCCTTACAGTATAACAAATATGTACAGTGAAATTTATAAAAAAAGAAAAGTATTTGACTTCATGATAATTGATCTCTAAGTCCCTTAGTATATGTTTCCTAGGAATAACATTCTACTATACAACCTGAATACTATATTGTGTCCTAAAAATGTAGTTACATATATACACAATGGAATATTACTCAGCAATTAAAGAAAATAAAATCATGGCATTTGCAGGTAAATGGATGCAGTTGGAGAAGATAATGGTAAGTAAAGTTATCCAATCCCCAAAAAACAAATGGTGAATGTTTTCTCTGATATAAGGTAACTGACTCATAGTGGGGTAGGGAGAGGGAGCATGGGAAGAATAAATGAACTCTAGATAGGGCAGAGGGGTGGGAGGGGAAGGAGGGGCCAGAGGGTTAGCAATGATGGTGGAATGTGATGGACATCATTATCCAAAGTTCACGTAGGAAGACATGAATTGGTGTGAATATACTTTATATAAAACAGAGATATGAAAAATTGTGCTGTATATGTGTAATAAGAATTGTAATGCATTCTGCTCTCATGTATTTAAAAAATAAAAGCAATTAAAAATTTAAATGGGAAAAAAGACTATAAAATGAAAAATGAACATAAAAAATGTAGTTACATACTAATATACTACATAGTTTCTATTAAAATGCCCTCCATTGTTCCCAAATATATATATATGTATATATTAGCAAAAAATACAATTAATATGTAATCATATAACACACACATATACATATGTGTGTGTGTATATATATGTTTTTGTATATATATATATATATATATATATATATATATATATATATATATATATTTCACTTGTATATTTGGCTACTTTGTCTCTTTTTCCCAGAAAAGTAATTTTTTTTTCTCAAGCAATTCAAGTTTATTTGTAGATTTTAGTAATAATATTGGTAAATTAAGAAATTATAAGCACAATTTGCTCAAATGAAAGCATTTTGAATAAGCTTCTCAACGATTTTTTTAGAATTAATTATATATTTTTTCATGTTTCATTGGTGATGATTCTATTATCTAATTTGAATTTATAAATATCCAAAGGAAGTTTTAAAGCGTAATTATAATTAACCCTTTCTAAAAGAAAAGAATTTATAACAGTACATTATAGAGTAACAATTCAAACTCAACTATTTTTCTTTTTAATTGGAGCATAAAGCTGAGACAATACTTCGTACCAGGTTAACATATGACTTTTTGGTTTTAAAGGTGAATGTACATACTAAACATAGAAATTCACCACTAAAACTTTGTCATTACCTCCCAGACTACCTTGACATTATTCCTCCATTTCATAATTGACAAATTCCCACTACTGGTCACCTGGCCAACACCTTCCATTTCTGGAACTTAACACTTAGTAAATTAAGGACACAGAAACGTTGTTATGACAATTACTTTGTCTCTTAAGATTCCTATAATCTAACTCTTAGATCAGTTCCCACCCTGTTAGCTTGTTGGATTTTATATTTGTTGGTCTTTTATGTTTTTAAAGTCTGTATTAGTTACTTTATAAAATGTCTCACATCCTGGAAATTTTTTGTTGTTTTGGTTTTTGTTGTTTTTTTCCCCACAAGTTCATGTTAACATTTTTAGCAAGAGCCCAACATAGGTGAAGTAATTTACTTATTAATTTTCTATTGTACCAGATAAGAAGGTATATACTATCGGTTTATTCCATTTTTTGCTAATGCTAACACCACTTTAACCACTTTGATCACACGGTGAAAGTGGTGTTATGGACTGAGTTTTTGTATAGTCCCTCCCAGATTTGTAGGCTAAAATCCTAACATCCAGTGGGCTGTCACTATGAGATGGGGCCTTGGCAGGTGATCAGATCATGAGGGTGGAGCTCTCATGAATGTATTAGTGCCCTCGGAAGAGACCATGGAGAACTTTCTTTCTCCTTTCCACCAGGGGAGGACACAGCAGGAAGACCCCCATCTGTGAGCCAGAGTATGCTCAAATAATATGTATGAGGCACAAATAGGAATCAATTGACGTGAGGCTATTACTTCTATATATAAAAAAAAATGGTTTTGTTTTTTTTTTCCTCATTTGGATTTATCCTGTGATGAGACAGAAGTCTTGACTATAGTGACTCCATGTTGTTTAATATCTCCATTTTGTAAAACAGCCATGTCAACTAGGAAGGTCACGACTGGGACAAGTTGTTTTTCTTTTGCTTGTGAAAATCCTCAAGAACACAGAACTATCTAACTGGGCTCTGTTTCTGTAACTGGGATGACTGGGCTAATTGTGATTGGCTAAGCTTCCCGCCACCTGACTGCAATCTCCCGCTTCTGTAACCTGGCTTGCTTGCATTAGCTAAACCCCCAAACATTCCTTTTGTGGTTTTCAAGCTTAAAAGGAACGCCCTTACAATTGTTTGGGGCTGATCCGGAACAGACTTTATGTTCCCGGTCAGTCGCCGAGGGTGTGCTTCAATAAAGGCTTGATTCGATTACATGTGAGTGGTCTGGAAGTCAATTTATGAAACCCCAGGACGTTGCTTTAACTATAACGATCCACATACTCTCAGAGATCAAACAGCCAGAGACCTGCTCCTAGCTGTTAGTTTTTCCCATGTAGAGAGAACCTACTGCTTACTTCACTTTGCTAAAATCTCAGCTGAGGACAATGTTTACTCTTTGCTCTATGTGACACTTCCCTTTTCTTCTCCACAATGGGAAGAAGATTTTCACTTCTCTGAGAAGTTCCAGAAAGTTTTGTGAAACAGCTGGTGATGACCTTCCGGTCTTCTCTGAGGTGGCTGAATCCTGGAGAAGATGGCCAGGCTATGTTTACAGGCAGACTTCCCATTCTCCCAAACGCAATTTATCCACAAGACATTATGAAAAAACGCAACTTCTTGTGAAACAATGCATTTGTTTTCTTCTCTCTTTCAAGCATATAGGACTTTTCAAGTTCTTTCCTAAGAATGCATATAAAGTGGAAGGGAAGAGGAAAACAAATGGAGGAAGGAAAAGGAGATGTGGTCTAGTAGCTACTTTGGAGTTTTGCAAAACTCCAAAGAATAATAAGAATATTCCACTAAAAAGATTATGGCAAGTGCTTCAATGGAAATCAATAGAAATAGAAATAGAAACAGAAAATCAGTAGAAAAGAGTTCCTACTATAGGCCTAGGAGAGTGACCTGGAATAGAGGAGCTGATGATGATAACTAGGAAAAGGGCAGATATCCTCAAAATTGCAACCAATCCCAGCAGCTTGGGCAGGTGACTGAGGCAGGAGGATGATGAGCTCAAAGCCAGCTTCGGGAAAAACAAGGCGCTAAGCAACTCAGTGAAATCCCGTCTCTAAATAAAATACTAAATTGGGCTGGGGATGTGTAAAAAAAGAAAAAAAGTTCAAAAAGATTCCTGTGGTTTTGAAGAAGCAAGTTTAAAGGGTAGATGATAAAAGCTGAGATGCAGAAGGGACCTGGGAAACAGGATCTAGGTAGAAAAGCAACAAACAAACTAGGCAAGTGGTCATTTTGGGTCCAAAAGTTAGGGCCATCTTATTTTCCAAGTAGAGATCCTTAGCCCAAGAAAGGCCAGGGTGGAAAAGAACAACCCATGGACCAGCAGGAATAAGGCGTATTATTTTTGGAGTCTGTGCACAGAGTTGTATGAAGAGTTAAATGATCAGTAAAATTAGTCCTAACTCCCTCATTGCCACATATAAACATCTGCTCTTGGGCTTTGCCATAGGAACATGGGTGGCTCCCAGCTAAGTCAAACGGGATCTAGTAGCAAGAAATTAACTCGAGTGCCATCTGCAGGATGTGGAATAGGAAGCGCCAGCCTTCATTCCTCCTGAAGTTTCTCACTTAACAACATACGGACCAAACTGCCTTTGCAAGAACTCAGGGAGGAGGCAAAGGAGCGAGCGCCCAGGTGGAGAGTGCAGCCAGGAAGACACCCATCGAGGTGGGTGGTGAAGTTCATGGCACTTTTACCAATCCTCGCCTCTTTGTCACCCTGGCACCCAACTCCAAACATTTACATCAGAAGGGCAAGATGAGTGGACCACGCGTCCAGCATTCTGCATTCTGAGGGTGTCGTCTGGGGGCCTGGTTTCTATCTCACCTGACTCCAAGTGCTGACATGAACTGGCACAATTTGGGTACCGTGGTAGGGTACCAAGAATACAGGTGAGCACCCTGGTTTCAGTTCTAGAGAGATTGTAGCACCTCAGCCAGACACCAGCAGGAGAAAGAGAAAACACGCCCAGGGAATAAGCCGGCAAATCTCTTTAACTGGACAATTACACATTTAATCCCAGGGTCGAACACCCCGGCCTCAAAGTTTTGAGGGCCTCTGGAATCTCTAGCTATGCTGATTGCTGAAGTCTTCCTCTTATATGATTGGCCAATCTGTAATGACTGAAAAAGTTTTTTTGTTTTTTTAAAAATACATAAATCTCAGCAAAAGAGCACCAAACATACAGAGGAACAGAAAAACATCTATTTCAAAGGAATAAAATAAATCTTCAGAAATCAACCCTAAAAAAACAGATGTCTCAAGTGAAAGGAAGCCTAGTAGAGCAGAGGAAGGAAAGGGGAGCAGGGAGGGAGGCCAGGAGGGAAAAGGGGAGCATCATGAACCCAAATCGATTTTCATGCAAGTATGAGTTTGTCGGGATGAACCCAACTACTGTGTGTAACCATAAAGCTCTAACAAAAATACATTAATTAAAAAAATAAGAAAAAATGCCCAGAGGTCTATAAATTATATGACTATGTAAAGATGTTTGCATACTTGTAGGTTTTTTTTTTTTTCCCAGCGTTTTTCACAAAAGCCAAGAGGTGGAATAACCCAAGCATCTGTTGATAGGTAAAAAAAGAAAATGTGGCATGTATGTGAAAGAAAGAAATGCTGCAATATAGACGAAACTCAAGGGCATCGTGCTAAGTGAA